GTGTTGTTGGGCGGCGTGCCGGTTTAGTTGAACGGGTGCGGCGGCGCGGTGGGGAAGTTGGCCATCAGCACGCCGGCGTACCGGCGCTGGCAGTGCGCCTCCAGGAGCGCCACCCTGGGGCGGACGAAGGAGTTGTTGTTGATGGACGCGGCGAACTTGGTGCCGTTCGGGCCCTGGCACGTCTGGTTGGACGGGCACGGGTCCGTGCCGAGGCCGACGGTGAAGAGCACGTGGCGGTCGACGGCCCGCGGCACGCGCGCCGGGTACCGCGCGGTCGCGAGGCTGCGGAACTTGCTCGAGAAGTTGGCCACCGCGTTGGTGTCGTTGTACCGCGGCAGGGGCGGCAAGGGGAGGTTGTTGTTTCCGGTGGCGCTCGCTCGAGTCGGGGCGTACTCGAGGACGGCCACGGCGGTGGTGTTGTCGAACGTGCCCTGCGTGTTGGTGTATGGCGCGATGGCCATGGCGTAGACCGGGGAACCCGGGTTGGGCGCCGTGGTGAGGAGCAAGTTCATGGTCTGCCCCGGCGAGATGACGAGCGTCTTGGCGGTGAACGGCTTGACGTAGTTGGCGTCCGCCTCGACGACGGTGAGCGTGTGGTTGGCGATGCCGAAGAAGAGCTCGTCGTTGAGCGCCGAGTTGATCAGCCGGAGCAGGTACGTCCTCCCTGGCTGCACCTTCACCTTGTACGTGTCTGCCACGAGCATCATAGAGACATAAACAGACAAATCCGTGATTAATTCATGGGCCAATCAGGAGAGGACAGAGCATCTCACCTTTGGACGAGCAGTTATAAGTCGGGCCAGGAAGCCCATTGAAAGTGTAGGCGTCGGAGATATTAGGGCCTGCTCCCGTCTGCAGGGCCTGGTTGATGACAGCCTCCGTATCCGCATTGAACCACTCACCTACACAAGTGTACGCATTACGAAACACCGTCACAATTTCAAGTTCAAGTGCCATCACACAGGGGAGAGGCGTCACGTACCGAACATGATGGGAGGCAGCTCCTTGTAGGGGCGAGGGAACGGGAAGCCCTCGCCGCGCTTGGGGAGGATGACGAGAGGGCCGTAGAGGTGCACGCGAAGCCAGGAGAAGTGGGCGTGCCACCACAGCGTGCCGCGCTGCCCGGTGACGGTGAAGTCGTACACGTAGCTGCCCCCGCCCTGGATCGGGCACTGCGTGATGTACGACGGCCCGTCCGCCCACCCGTTCCGCAGCTGCAGGATCCCGTGCCTGCACGCACATATCATTGCCATCGTCATGAGATCGATCACACACGATCGAATTGCATGAATACGTTGCGGGATTGCGCAAGAATGTGTGCGATGGTGTTTGGCATTACCAGTGGAACGAGACGTTGTAGTTCATGTGGTTGTGCACCTTGACCACGAGGCGATCGCCTTCCCTGACCACCAGCTTCGGCCCCGGGAACTGCCCGTTCACCGTCGGGATGCTCTTGGTCACGCACAGCCGCGTCACGTTCGTCATTTGCACCTGCAGAACACGGCCAGAAACATCAATGCAGCCACACATCAAGAATGGATCGACACGGCCGGCCATGTACGTATATCGATCATGCTCGTTAGAGATGTACATTGAACGTGTAGTGACGGGTAAGGCCGGCGGTGAGCGTCGGCAAGGCGAGGAGGACGGCAAAGGCGGCGAGGAAGCGGCATGCGGAGGAGGAGGAGCCGGCATTTCGTAGGCCACGGGGAGTGCCCATTTCGGATGCCCAGCCCAAGCCGTGCGGCTGCCGGGGCGCAGCTTTTGAACTGGTTTTGTGGTTGCACTTGGAAGCAAGAGTGAAGTGGTGCACTTGGCGAGAAATGAGTACGGGCTCTCTATATAGGGGATCATCATGGGTTCGTGCCCTGCATGGTGGGAGGTCACAGCGTGGTAGTGGTTGGCCGAGTTGGTAGGAGTCCATAGAAAAAAACTGCTATTGGGCCACTCTTTGCTCCTGCTTTGTGCACCTGGCTAGGGAGTGCAGAGGGCCTGCTTGCTGTCTATTGAGTATATCGAATTGCAGTTTTCGGCAAGGCAGCTAATTTTCAGATGTATTGCTACATCCATGCGAGTATGCGATGACCACACTAATTTAGTGATTTACAATGGACTACTATATTAATTAACTAAAACATATTCTGGTGTTTTTTTTTTGGAAAAAGAAACCAAGAGGCGTGTGTAATAAGCTGCAATGTTAAGATTGGTGCTGTTATCTAGTAGTATAGTGTGTTGTCCTCCCTATGAAGCATACCTATATAACTTTTTGATGAAAAAAGCATAATAATATATGACTTTGAGAGCCAGTTAATTTTCACAGAAGGCATAGAAGGTGAAATATCAATTCCTAATTGGATCATGAAAGGCTTGCTTTAGGAGGTCATGCTTCCTGCTTGTAAAAAACAACATTATTTGTCACCTTTCTTATCTTAGATCAACTTCCGCTGCATTACCTTGCATGCGCCTTTTTATTTGTGAGCCTTTGAAGCTAACCATGCATGGCCCTCCAGGTCAATTCTATAAAACTTCATCAACCTTTTCCTCTAGTTCTTTGTTTCTCAAGAATTTGTTTTTTGGGAGATTGTTGTCGGAACAAAAAGAAAAAAGGAAAAAGAAAGGAACTAAATAGTGCCGTTACGTTGCTTGGAGCTTGTGTGCAAGTTGTTGAAGTGGAGCCAGAACATTCTTTTTTTATGTTTTTTTCTATATATGATTCATTTCATCCAGTCATCCAAATCAAGTGAACAGAAGGCTGTTGGCCAAGCGGCTTTTCCGATATGGATTTAACTTGACATGCTTGTGTCGCCTTGTTAAATTGGGGCCCAGTCAAATATAATTAGCATAAACGAATTGTTTGTCATGGCAACAAATATGCCAATTACACATGTGTTGCCAAAATCTTGACAAAGCCAAAACTTGACAGGTTTTGATAGTGTCAATATTTTGGCATGGTAACAAACCAAACCAACCATAAGCAGCTATCCAGGTATTACAGTACTTAATTTTTGCTGGTGTAGGCTTATATAGGCCTGCTTTCTCAATGAACTAGGATTAAATAAATTTGGCACCTTCTTCATCTTCTTCCAGGTGACAAACATTCAGCTGGGTTATCTGGACAATAATATGGAAACCTAGATGAGGCAGTGCGAAAAAAAATTGCTTATTTTTGTCTCATATTGGGAATGTTGTCAGCTTTGGTATAAGTACGTTTGGCATAAGCAAGAGGAGTTCAGGGCACGAGGAGAAGAATCATCCTGTAATTGGAGGCTGGAGGTAAGAGGGGACATTTTGCATGGAGATCTGTTGGTGTTTGATTAGAACACAAGCAACCGCCATTATTAGCCACAACGCCTAAACCTTTGCATTCCCTGATATGGAACTCTGCACATTGCTAGTTTTTAATATGAACCAGGTGTTCTTTATGGCTGACAAAAAGAGTTTTTTCGAGCTACTGTGCGTTATGGTCCTGTGAGTACTAGATTAGCACAACTCATCGTGTTAGTTGCGATGGGACAAAATACTTTTGTGTCACCAGTTAGATGTGGTTCTACGACAGAATTTGTGCCTGGCTTCAAGGTAAAGTAACAGTTCCTGACGAAAGTTTCCACAGCCGTCATGGAGTTGTTGAGGGGGCCTCCTTTGCTGCACTTTCCTCGTGCTAATGTGCAATCTTTCTGTATAAATTAACTATATAATACTACTGGTTGCTGCAACGAACTCTCTGCCTCTGTCAAGAGCCATAGATTGCGGGCGAAATTACCTGCACTAATCGAGGCTGGCCGGTGCCGAGTTGCTGTCCTTGTTGTAGCCAAGGCCCCGACTGATCGACGTTTCGCAAGTCGCAAGTGTTAGTCGTTGAGAAAACTACTCTCGACCTATCGCGAGCATAGGTGTATGGATATCATTCTGCAAGCACGGGCAAAAAAAAAACTTTTTCTAGAGAAGAAACAAAAATTGCTGGCATCGATCGATCTCACTTGCAACACTTGTCGTGGGGGCATCACATGGCCATGTCCGTGCTGCTTGCAATTGCACACCCGGCTCATTCTGCCCGGTGTCCCCGCACGCTGCACGTATGGCGTACGCTCCCCGGCCTCCTCTCGCTGCCCTCACGAAGTCACGGCCTCACGGGGCGTGTCGTCCTCGTCCACCCAACACCACACATGCGCCCCCGCCGTTCGCCCAACAGGCGGCACCGCGGCGAGATGGCGAGCATACGTTGTGTCCTTGTCGACTCGTCGGTCACAGAATCTCGAAGCTGTCCGTGTCACCAGGATCTTCCCTTCTCTCCTTTCTGTCTATAGCTTTGCTTGATTCAGGACCACGGATTGTTCTCATGAAGCCCTGACACTAGTCACACGCATTGGCCACATGCATTTGCAATTTCTCCTACTAGTGGTACACCGTACCTAGCTCCAGCTAGGGAGGAGGCAAAGACACACCATGCTGCAGAGGCAGGGCTCTCTCCCACAGCCGCATTAACTGCATCCAGATTCAAGAACGAACGCACACACTGCTCTGCTTTCCTCCCGCCCGTATTAATTCCTTGGCAAAACGAAACCTGGACTATCTCAGCAGTAAAACTACGGTTTTTGCGAGTCCATTGCTGGTACAAGCAGTAAACACAAGACAAGACTGAACTGCAGTACTACTGCTTATGAATCAATGAATCAACCAGGGACCTTTTCAAACCTTCAAGCTACTACAACATGATCGGTGATCACTATCCTATTCCTACCTAGTCAGATGCCGCGGATGAAAGTGAAGCAAAAAAAAAAGAACTGCCGGTATACAGCTATTCCCCTGTGGGCTGTAACAGATATTCAGAAAAGAGCAAACCACGACGTCCCGGAGGCCACAATCTTCAAGCAACAATCTGCTGCCGCCGCCGATGTCGACGCCATTAAAGGTCTTAATCAAAGTCTACTGCTGCATGAGTACATGATTTCATATCAATCACCTCAAGAACCAATAACATCAGCAGAGAGAGAGAGAGTGCAAAAATGCCCAACTAAGCAGGTGCCAGGAAAAGATTTTATCATCTGAAGGAATACAAAAACAGTATGATTATGAGCTCTGATAATCTCATTTCATCTCAAGCCCCGCCATCACCTACATACCTACCTCCTACTCCCTAAACCCTCCTCTTGCCCATCCCTAATCCACTACTAATACCTAGAGTACAACAGAAGAGAAACATAGCGAAGTATCTACAGATCCCAAAATTAATCTAGACCAGAGCTCCCCGCCGCCGCCGCCGCAGCCGAAGCTTCAAAATCAAGCGCACGAGGAGGCCTGGCGGCGCGGCGCGAGCGCGAAGAGGGCCTCGAGGTCGGGGGGCTGGAAGTAGCCGTTCTTGGGCGGGCCGCGCCTCTTCCCGAAGTCCGGCACGGCCTTCCTCGGCGCCGCGGGGCAGGGCAGCGTCGCCGGGATGCGGCACTCCTCCCGCTTCGGCGTCTCCCATCCGCCGCACGCGTGTCCTCCTCCGGTAGAAGCCGCCGATGCTGCCGCGGCCGCCGCCGCAGCCGCCGCAGCCAACGCCTCTGCTTTGCTCTCCATTGCAGGATTCTTTTCCTCCTCGCCGAGAAATTTGGTTTCCCTTTTTTGAAATGGGGGATTTGGGAGGGAACTTGGGAGGAGACGGCGGAGAAGGGAGATTATAAAGGAGGCGAAGACGGCGGCGGCGGCGGGAGGAATTTGGCTTGCAAAGGACGGAATTGGACGGCTCCTTACACCGCAAGGAGGAGCTGGATCGGTGACGTGGAGCCCTACCCGCCCTCGGATTGCGGAACGAATTCAAGCGGGAAAACGCGCGGGGAGAGGCGGGAAGCCACCGGCCACTGTTTGGGTTTGAAACTCTTTCAACTAAGGACAAACATTATCCATATTTAGATATAAGTCCTCCCTGACAACGATGTAAGGGGCTATTTGTAAGTTAAGGGTCTTATACAGGGTTGTTTTTGGATAAAGGAGGACAATGTCGCCTTGGATTCCACTGCGTTTACGTTTGCGGTGTGCGGGAGTGTAGGGGTGCCAGGTGTACGGGAAGTGATGGGTTCAGCGAATACGGTGGGCCCGGGCGCCACCCATATCCACGACTCCGCTTCGTCGCGTGGTCCGGGTGTTGGTGCGCCCCGCGGGACGCGGGGCCGAGCTAGAGTTGCGGAGTCGTGGGTCCACCTGAACCGGGTGCGGGGCGCCGGAGATCTCCCAGCTGTTGGAATGATCCCTTCCGCCTCGGATTCCTGGGCACGTGGGCCCCGCATCGGAAGGAGCTCGCGTGGTCCGGTGTGAATCCGTTGCTCGGTGCGTTGACCCCGTACGCGGACGGCTCGCCGTCGGGTGGGCCCTATCGTAAGCCAAGGCCCATAACATAGGCCTCTCCAGTTCTCAAGTGGGCCAACCAGTTACAATGAGCCCATGACAACGGAATAAGGAAAAAGTACACTGAAGGTCCCTCAATTCGTTATCGAGTTACAAAATCGTCCCTCAAGCGAAAACCAGATACCGGGCGTCCCTCGAACTTTAGATCCTCTGGTAGTTTTAACGTTGGTTTTAACGTTGGTTTTGTCTGACGTGATGGCGAGTCAGCTTGGGATCTACGTGAGCCCCACATGTCAGAGTGCCAGGTCTTCTCTCTCCTCCCCTCTTCTCTCCCTTCCTGATCTCTCTCATTTCTCTCCTCTCTGCAGGGCGGCTGGCGTTGGGGAGGAGGTCCAGCGGCGGCGCGTGCGACCTCGGAGGTCGGACCATCGGAGAAGCCCGGGAGGCGGCGGCGACGACGATACGGGATAAGGGAGGCGGCGGCGGCTGCGACGCTTGAGAAGGGAGAGGCGGCCGGCGGCGCCGACGCGGGAAGAAGCTGTCTTCGTCGTCGTGCCCGCTCCGCCCGCCATCGCCTGCTCCGCCCGCCGCTGCCCCGCAATCACATACTCCCGCCGGCGACGCCGCTGACAGCGCGGGCGCGAGATCTGCGGCCATGGACGACGACGGCGGCGGCGTCCTCGCTCTCCCCGTCCCGCTCCCGCAGCGCGCCTGCCCGCCGCTCGTCTCCTCCGCCGGCCGGCCGCTCCCCGCGCAGTCGGCGGCGACAAAGGTTCCCGAGGATGGACACCGGCTGCTGCTCCGTTGTCGCCACGATCGCCAGGCACAGCGTCCGCTGCTGCACCGTCACGAACGCGTTCTCCTGCTTCAGCGCCACCGCCGAACTCCAGCGTCAAGTCCGGACTCGCCTGTTCGGTTTGCTTCCTGTTGGCTGTACACACGAGGTCATTCAAGATCAGTAACTCATACTCTATTCTAGCAAGCTGGCTGTTGGTGAGAATTCTGAATTCTCTCATTGCATCGCCTAACGAAGATCGAAGATCGGAGTGTTATACATCAATCAATTTCTCAGCTGGGAGTGTTACTCCTGCATTGCTCTACAATTTATGGGTCATGTAATTTGATCTCTCACAGAATCTATAGCGAGGTAAGAAAGCGAAACCGGCGCCACAAAATATCTTGAAATTCTGCTTGTTCATATCCTGTTCTTCTGATTAAAGAACAGCTTAGCTTGAGATTGTTCTGTTCACTTGCAATTTGCAGGAGTAACACAGCTTATTTTTGCATTTCTGTATCTTACTATCCTTTCTACATAAGTACTGTGATTATCTGAACAAGATGGACTTCTAGAGATGTTTATCGATGTGATTTGTGATTCTCTCTCTGGCTTCCACCTCCCGCCCGGCCACCTCGTAGCACAGATGCAGCAGCCCATCCGGCGACTGCACCGGCGGGAGAGCTCGTCGACGAGTGGTCCCATCAGAGCTGTGTCGAGGAATGTCAGCGTCGTACCGGAGTCCACGATGATGCGCAAACTCGCCGCCGATGCCACGGTCTTGTTGCCGACCTTGACGGAGTCGAGGACCACGGTGTAGTACGTGTCCACGTCCCCGGCGACGAGCGGCGTGCTCGCCGCGCCGGGCTCGGTGACATTGGCGAGGGCGCCGAAGTTGAGCGCCGATGAAGTGTTGACGGAGTGCGGGACGAGGCAGTAGGAGAATCTTCGGCCGAGCGACGCCGCGCCACCGAGCTGCATCACGAGGGAGACCGCGCCGCCGCCGAGCCCGACTAGCCCGTCGGCCGGGAACGAGCCGGCCGTCGCGGTGGAGCCGCCGAACTTGACGCTGCCCACGCCGCCTCGTGGTCGTGGGTGGCGGCCGGCGGGGGAGCCCGCGCGGCGCTCCTACCCCCGCCGCCCCTCCCCCACTGCCCGCCCGCAGCTCCTCCCCCCACCGCTGCCGCGTCGCTCGTCGCCACCATCACCGCAGCCGTGTCGCTCGCGTCGCAACAAATTGGAGAGAAGTCAGAGAGAGATGAGGAAGGGAGAGAAGAGGGGAGGAGAGAGATGACCTGGCACTCTGACATGTGAGGCCCACGTGGGTCCCACGCTGACTCAGCCGTCACGTCAGATAAAACCAGCGTCAAAACCACCGGAGGATAAGTGAATGGTTTTGTTAGTTGAGGGACATCGGGTATCTGATTTTGTGGTTGAGAGACGATTTTGTAACTCGATAACAAATTGAGGGACCTTCGGTGTACTTTTTCCACGGAATAAAAGGCGCCTTCGCCTCGTCGGGCCGTTTCGAGCGCCTTCTTTGGGTGTGTGCAGGTCACGCTAAAATTGAAAAATTTGATTGAAATTGGAATGATGTAACGGAAAAGTTAGAAGTTTGTATGTGTAAAAAAGTTTTGATGTGATGAAAAAGTTGAAAGTTTGAAGAAAAAGTTAGGAACTAAACCAGCCTTTGTTTCGTTCTTCTTCTTCTTCTTCTTTTTCTTTTCCTTTTTTGACTTTGAGATGACATTAATGATATCTCCTTCTTGTTTTTCTTTTTTCTACTTTGAGGTGACATGAATGATATCAAAATCGTGTATCTTACCTAGGCTGTGTTTAGATTTAAATTTTTTTTTCAAACTTCCAACTTTTCCGTCACATCAAACGTTTAGACATATGCATGGAGCATTAAATGTGAACGGAAAAAAATCAATTGCACAGTTTGCATGTAAATCGCGAGATAAATCTTTTGAGCCTAATTACACCATGACATGACAATGTGATGCTACATTAAACGTTTACTAATGACGGATCAATTAGGCTTAATAAATTCGTCTCCTAGTTTACGGACGGAATCTAAAATTTATTTTGTTATTAGTCTATATTTAATACTCCCTCCGTCCCCTAATATAATGGATTTTGACATTTTACTTGCACTGTTTGATCACTCATCTTATTAAAAAAATATGTGCAAATATCAAAAACAAAAAGTTGAGCTTAAAGTATTTTGGATAATAAAGTAAGTCACAAATAAAATAAATAATAATTCCAAAATTTTTTGAATAAGACGAGCGGTCAAATATTGTAAGCAAAATATCAAAATCCCTTATATTAAAGGATAGAGGGAGTACTTTATATGTGTCCGTATACTGAAAAAAAATTGGCACAATAACTAAACACAACCCTATTTTTTGTAACTGGTGGGGTTGCAAACTTGCGATTCGCGTCGAAATTACCAAGAGACCAAGCACTCCTCCTCTATCTGTTAGACTGCCACAGACAGTTGTGTAGTTGAACTTTCTGTAATGATATCCCAATACGGAAGATTTTTTAAATAACTTTTTGGAGGGTTTTCTTTTATAGAACTGTCTATAATATATCTTTTAGAGTCAGTTCAAAAATGGCTCATGGGACGTACTGAAATTCAATAGGCGACGCAACATGGACATATCGAGTATATACATTCCCTTTTCCCAGCCAGTGTGATTTTAACTGAGTATATATCTTTACATAAACGATGTTGCAAGAGAAAACAGCATGTTACGAAGCTCAACAAGCAATAAAAATAATCTAATCTATCCTGTTGTTGGGCAGTGAGGGGAATAGCAGCATTTCATCAGTGTCCAGGAGAGTAGCATTTCATCACTGTCCAGGAGAGCTTCAAGATGACGCGTTCTTCCTAGCTGCGTAAACCCGGTAAGCAGCTACGCCCACAACTGCAACAGCCGCTCCTACTGCAAATTATTGGCACACCATCAGTTGTGTTAGAACTCAACCAACTTAAGATAAAACCACTATTCAGTTTCAACTCAAAATCATAAATAACTATTACTTTTAGATTTTATTGTCTTACTAAACCTGTGCTCTTACTATTCTGTAGTAATTGGCATGATCGATTTGTGCCAGAGCATAAAGGCAAATACAGAAACACACTTTAGAGGCAGAAGCTTGACACTAACTTACCTGAGACAACCGTGAGGGAACGGTTCAGAAGTTGACGGTATTGCCTGTGTGTTTTCCCAGCTTCAGTCTCTGGGATGCTCAAATGAGGCTGCTGCGCCGCATGGACTATCCGGCAGAAAATATTGTTCAAATCCCTCAACCTTACACTAATAGGAATTGGTGTTTCGATTCCCATGTCATGGCTCACCTACAAGTACATGATTTTATTGAATTAAAACAACTGAAAATAATCCATAGCTGTAGAGATCAGACATAAAGAAAACTGGTGGCAATAGTAGACAATATTGACAAATCAGTCCATTTGTATGAATGTTGACTTGGAACGACACAGTTTGATCAAGAGTTTTTCCATGAGGCAGCAGAAACAACCACTGGCATGGTGGTCTCCAATTAGCAAAAGCAAAAGAAAAAAAAAAGGGTGGGGGGACTGATTCATTCAAATATCTAATTCCAGTTCAACCAACCAACTGTGCCAAAAAGGACAAATGATTCTCAGAGGTAAATAAAATATAACAGTTTAAAAATGAATCAATATTGTATTGAAGCTTACTCTAGTTGAGTCCTGCAGAGCCAACGGAGATTGGTCGAGGTCATCCTTAGCAGCAACTATCAGACAAGGAACTTCATAGCCAGTGTTTTTTCCCCGTGTGGCCACTTGTACAAGCAATTCTCTTGCTCTTTGCCAAGAAACTTCATCACCACTGCCATTTCAACAGCATCACATTTTGTGTGCAGAAAATTAGGTACAACTGAATAGATAATATAGAGAGAGGTACATCTGAATAAACAATATTTATGTGTCGAACTTCTGAATTACTACATTGGTTCAATCCTGAATCTGTGAACTGTCAGCAGGAGGGCTCGCATAGAACAACGAATATTTAAACCAATTGACAGGATAAAGGATTAAAGTCAGTCACTTCAACGAGCCAATTGACAGTATCGTGTAGTCGGTTATTCTATTTAAGTGGTGTACTGCTAATTCATATTCCTTGTGGAGATGAACATCCCATACCAGTACCCAGGCAGTTAGCTGTTGGTTTCAAGTCTATATTTAGATTACCATCAGCATATGTTATTTGCCAGTCCTACCAAACTGTGGACCTCCAGTTACTGCTAGTTTGTTTAGATCCCTTGATAGCTACCACAAGATGTTGACGTGTCTCTAAAACAAGAGAAATTTCTGTTTTTTATTTTTTGGGGGACTGAAATTTCTCTTTTTGTTGGCAGTTGGTTTCTGTTTTTGTCACTGGGGTTAATACAAATGCATCACAACAACAAAATTGATTTCATCTAAAGCAAAAATAAAGTTCTCTCATAGTATGCCAGGTTTATAAACAAATCATACTGCTATAGCTAATGGGAAAGGAGTGCTGCTACTGAAAACTGTGTATTGAGGATTTTTGTCATGAATAAAAAGGAAGAATTCAGTGACCATGAAAGAAAAATGCAACTGACAAAACTTATGGCCATGAATAAAGAGGGGGATAATTCAGTGGATAGCATACCTATCATAAACAATTACTGCTACATCACAGGGTGCCAAAGATTCCTTATCTGATAGTAATGGTCCAACATCACCTTCAGAAATTTCTCGCATCACAAGTGTCTTTCTAGTCCCCTTCAGTGGAAGAAAATTATTGAATCAGACCAAACAGTTAGAAACTAACTTGTTTGTGACACACATTATCAAGTGTTAAGATGCAGATCAATTATGGTTTCATATAAATATGTTGCTAGTTACTTATTTTTTAATAAACAAGAATATGGATTGTTTAAAGAGTATCTGTCATCTCAGACTGTAGAATACTTACGAATACATGAGTAAATGTTGCACTGTTCAAAATAAAACTATCAAAATGGTTGCATATGGTGTGAGCAAAATAAATCAAGAATTTCGAATACTTACATCAGGCAGTTCAACAGTATTTGCTGCAAATTGTTCACCATTGACAGGAGGAGCATCGGAAGGTTGCCTATTGCAAGGACCAAGAGTGAAAGTGAGAATATCAGAAGAAATAACCATGGCAAACAAAGTTCATGATATAAAATACTATGGAGTGATATCTTTTAAGGAATGATTGTAGCAATGCAGTCTTTCCGGCATGTCTGGGACCAAAAACATAACACTGGAACACATTTCTCTGAGTCTGCTTCTTTTTACGGTCTACTCGCCTTTTCCTCGTGGTGGTAAATGCCGAATCAAAATCGCCGGGATAGCCAACATATATAAGGTTGGCAAAACTATTTGACGGGTGTATAAGTGTCATAAGAGTCCACTGCAATTACAGAATAATTAGTCAATAAAAGAAAACAGACCAATAAGGAAATTCAGTATTTTCCAAACGCAAGATTAAAGCAACAATAAAATTCTAGAAATCAAAGATCAATTTTCTGCCTAACAACACCCCCACAGGTTTGTCAAGACAAATTATATAGTTCATATTAAACACTGCGTGCTCCTTATACAAGATATGATTGCTCCCAGATTAATTTGCTTAATACTTTACATGCACTGTAAGCAATCTATTCCATACCTAGTTTTGATGCTCAGAATGCACAGATCAATGAATATAGAGATTAAAAGAACAACAATATGGGGTTTCCTAGAGTCATGAAAGAATCTTGCACAGTGCTACAGGACAGCCACACCAATAAATACAATGCGTGTGAGTTCTGAATAGAGAAAGGGCTTCTCTTTCTTGTTTTGAAACCAATCAACAAATAATAATTTGCTAAAAGGTCAATCCATCAACAAAAAAATACAGGGTTGTCAATTGTTGTGTCAACTCTTATCATGCAAAGTTTGAGAAAATACCTTGGAGATGAACCCTTCAAACGACAAACCACCCAAGACATTATTTTCAGCACAGTTCTCGTACAGATGAGAAGACCACGGACTGAAATTCCAATAGAAGAGTATTGATACAGGAAATATCAACAGACAGATTATTAAATAGTAATTCTTCACACCCTTCTAATGCAAAGAATCTTCATTACATCAAGTCCAATAGAGAAATTAATACAAGAAATATTTAACAATTTTGGTAACCTAACTTTTTGTTACAATGAAAGTATCAAGTTATTAAACATGAAAGGGCGTTCTATCAGCTTCTTACTTTTCAGG